CAGAAATATAAACTACCCAAAGCCTGAACACAGTAATAACACAGAAATGTCTGCTCTGACAAAAACTGAGAAATTCCAAGCAGCACATGGTCCACCACCACAGCAAGAGGGAAAATGGTTTCATAGCTGTTTTGGAAGAAGAGGATCTCTAGGCAGATGGCATTTGGCCAGGGAGCCTGCTCCCAGGAGGCTGAACTCAGAGCACTGTCCTCAGTGCTTTTCCCTGAACTGGGCAGAAGACAGGCACGAACAACTCTCCCCACATGTGTGAGAAGTCAACACCTTTCCTTAGCACTCATCCTCCCAATGCCCAGAGCTGCTCCTGAGCTGGCAGCAAGCACAGATCAAGATATTTAAAAAACAGGAACATAAATCCGAAGTTCCCTGCTAAAAGCTGCAGTGGTCTGATCAGCACAGAGGCTGAACCTCTAATCTCACAGATGAAAGGGACTATCTCTGCTGCACAGAGCTCTGCTGACTCCCATCCAGCATACTCAGGGTATGCAGAGCTCAGCTTTTTGTGCTCTTCTTCAACAGTGCACCATGAGAGAAAATACCCTCATTTGCTCCCAGCCCATACCTTATGTAATATTTAAATGTGGCAATAGGATACCTGGAAGGAAAAGATCCAAGTTTATATATGTGCTCTTCCATAAAACAGACTAAAACATAAGGAGCTGCCAGCAGTAGCCTAACAGGCACTCACCCAGCCAGGCATCTAATAGTCTTTAATGCTAATCAATAGAAAAGATTCTGGGAAGTGACCTTAAGAGCTATTGTCTCAGTGTGATATACATTTTGAAGCAGTGGGAGATTGTGATGCTTTAATGCAGTAATTTCTGGAAAAGGATATGTGGAAAGGTGGTGAAGATCTGGAGGGGCAGCTTTTGTTGGAGGAAGGTATCCAAAAAGGGATAACATCTGTGAGGAAAAAAAATTATTAAAATCCAAGAGTCAGAGCCTGAGCTGTTTCATCTGCACTCACAGATTCTCTGTGAGTTTGTTGAACATTCATTTTATGATCAGCTCATGAAACTTCCCTTCCCTGAGGAAGAGGTAAATATTTATCATCATAGAAAAATTTTGCAGGTTTATTCACTATTATGGGAAATACTGACTTGCAAATGCTTAAAAGAGTAGAAAAAGAGTTGTTTTTAACTATAAAGAAAAGTTTCTTTCCTTTCTAAGCTTAAAATTTATTATGTGTTATATAAATGCTACTCAGTATTCCAAGTACTCCTCCTATGCTGCCTGGTATTTTAAGGATATATTCATTTTTTAGTACCAAACATATATTATGACTTTTTTTTTTCTCTTGTATGCAGTTTCTCTTGTATGCAGTTGAATCTTTTGGTTTGGCACCAGCCGCAATGCAATTAGACTTTGAAGGGTTTGAACCACTGTTAATGCTATAATAACTTGGAGCAGTTTCTGTGAAAGAACACCAAGCCTTTTTTTATCAATAAATGCTCTATGGCATAAATTTCTACCTTTCGATATCCATTTATCCATATCTTTATTTCTAAGGAAGTCAATACTCACTAAAAGGAATACACTTAAAATGTTTCATTATGGTAAGGCATTTTTCATGTGAGATAGAGAAGAAATTGCAAGTATTTTCATTCCCAGGTGTTAGTATAACGAGATTTCACATTTTTTTATCATACTCTTTGTTTTATCTGTGAACTTCCATAAAAGTCTGAAGACTAATGTCTCAGTCTGTAGAATAAAGTTAATGCCTCAGCTAAAAACATTTTAAAACCTGAAAAATCTGCTTAAATACAGCATCTTGCAAGATATGTTTCTTTAAATGATTTTTTTTTTGTGTCCTGGAAGCAAAATAAATGTAATAAACCACTAAGCTAGCTTTAAGCACAATCTGAGTAGAATAATTGTTTGTGTGCTTAATTGCAAGTATATGAGGTGTGCAATTCCAGTATCTACAGTGAGGTCACTCACAAGTCTGAACACAAACAAGTGTTTAAGTACTTTGTTGGATCAAGTCTTTAAGAAAATTACTGTTGCAACAGAAAAATTAAAGTCTCACTGATGGGGTTTGACTGCAGGAAATTTAGCATAGGTAATACCACTTACAAAAACCCTTTGTGGTACCTCATGCAACAACAGACAAACAGCAATGTATTTTCTTCTTGTTTCAAAATGCAACAAATGTCTTTCTTGCCCTCCTTTTGACTTGTAAATATCAGAAGTCAAAAGCATACTCTGAACAGTTTTGGGGTGGTTTTGGGGTTTTATATTAGGATCTTAATAGTTGATCCTAATATAAAGTAATTTTTATGTGTTTAGAGGATTGAGGTGAAAAAAGGAATACAACAAGAAAGGAAGGAAAAGAAAACTTGCTTTTAGAGAGGGAAGGCTACCATGAAAAGAGGGATGAAGAGAAATCTTAAGAATTATCTAGAGAGAGATGAGGACAGTAGGGGGAATGAGGTATTGTCAGATGAGATATTGTCAGATAGAATCTCCAAAGAATCTTAAAAATGATCATGAGGAAGTCTGAAATCTGTGAGCAAGATCTATGGGGGCTGTGGTGACCAAGCCTTAGGTTGGGAAAAGCTTATTTGAAATGACATCCATTGTAAAGGTTAAAAAAGAAGAGTGAAAGAAGTGATTAATGCAAATTAAGAGAGGATCAGTGTTAGTTATATTTTATCACATACCCACTAAAAAAAGACTGCTGTTTTAAATATTCCAGATTAAGCAAAAAGAATTAGTGGAAGTCTTAATGTGAAGAGAATGAAGTGAGAGTGATCAAACCTAATACTGATGATAGAGCAATGGGGGAGGGAAGGCATTTTAGGAAGAAGTAAGACATGTTCCATTTTAGAGCTGCTTGACCTTGAGAAGCAACAGGAGATCCAAGAATGAGTACTAGAGAAACAGATATAGACACAACATGCTCAGAGAGAGAAAAAAAAATGGTTTTGGATTTGAGAGTCAGAGGCACTGAGGCAAGAAAGAGAATGAGAATAAGCCATGCTACAGGCAAGGCGTGGTGACCCATATGGGGTGGGAATCTGGAGATGCCCAGGGAGCCACTGAAGCCCCCAGAGAGGCTTCATCTCAGAAAATGCAGCCATTGAGTGATCACAGCTGAAAGCATAGGAAGTATACTGTTTATGGAATGGGGAAGGAGGGGAATGTAGTCAAAGTATGTCTTCCTCTCCTGAATGAGACATGCATTGAATAAAAAGTTTAAAAAGCAGGACTTGGGAAAAGGACGAGGGAAATTGTCAGCAAATTATGTCAGGATCAGATGTTAATGAGGAAGAAAATGAGAGAAATGAAAATGAGAGAACTGAAATTTGAGGCCACTGCTATAAAATATGAAAAGACCAGAAACATTTTCTGGGATGGACTACTTTAAACTTTCCTCCAAATAATTATACCTTTGCGGAGTCATGATGTGTTCATCTAAAATGACGGCTTTTGTTCCACGTCCGGCATGGTATTTGGCGGGTATTAAATGGGATGCTTTGCAGTTCAGCTGCAGGTACAAAGCAAATGATGCATTTCTTTGCTTGAGGCCCTCATTATGCTCTGTAAACAATCAGAATGGAGATTTATTCTCCACTCACTGATTTCCTGCTCTCGGGTAAAAGCACGAGGGGCACGTTAAAAAGAAAGCACTAAGACACTGATTATCTGTTTCTCCAAGCCAAATTGGTTTAGGTTTCTCCAGGCCTCCTAGCAACAGCTTTATTATTATGGAGTAATTTCCCCCCAAATACTTCTAAAGCAAGTATCAGATTAATGTTTCAGATAAGAACAAAGTATATTCATTAACTCCCAGGGCCTGTCTATTGAAATAAAAGCCTCAAATGAAGCATGCAAGTGTGGTTTCATTATGATATGTTGACATTTTCTTCTTGTTGGTTTTGGTTTTTTATTTACATTATTTAACAGTGAATGGTTGATGATAATCAATATACAGTACATTTATTCCATAGATGAGAAAAAAAAATTCCTTTTAGCAGATATTTTCCTGCAGTATTAGCATATTTCATGTTTCTTTTAATCTAGCTGTAGATATGAATCATCACACACACATGCATCACTTTTGTTTACTTACAAACCAGTTACACTGCATATCATGTTGGAAGTAAACACATATATGAAGAATTTATTAAGTTCTACAGTAATTGCAGTTTCTGTTGTTTACAACCTTATGGCATTCATATTTCTTATGATATCCCAGGAGAACTGTGGTATGTTAAGAGAACTAATCTCATAAATATGTATTCTTTGTTTCATGGTAATTTTTTCAGAAGTTGTTATGTTACTCAGATGAGTATCTCCTAATAACCATTTTTTTTAATCCCCAAGTAAAAGATTTACTATGTACTCTCCTTTTCAAAAGTAGCTCAAGCACCAAGAAGTTGGTGAGACTTGGGTTCACATGGCAGTTTTGGGGGAAAAAAAAAAGTTTCTTCAAGCTTTGAAAGACAACAAAGTCTATATAGAGAAAAGATGCACAATGGAATACTTCATTCACTTCTCATTCACTGATTTTTCTGCCATGGTACAATTGTGAATTTTCAGAAGGAAAAATGTATTGTTTCGGTGGTTTCTCTTGCAGGTGTGACCTTTCCAATATCTCTATGGAGAAATGGTGGCTGAAAACTGTTTTTCCCTTCCATTGTTTTTCTTTGTTGTGGGGTGTGACAGCAGTAAGAACTCTGGTGGGGCCAGGAGCTGGCTTTGTACTGTCACTTGGTGCAGCCACACCATGAATTGCAAAGGACTGGTGTGAGAAGACTCTTGATGTTTAGCCACGGAGGATGTGCTCTGATGCTGGGGGAATGTGGGAAGCTCCTTATGGGTTTTCTTTAAGGGGGACACTCTTAAGAGAGAGGAAACAAAGAGGAAATCAAAGTATCTACAGTGTTTCTAGCAGACTTGACAAAAGAGGTAGAGACTGTTACATCCACATTGCAACACCCAGGTGCTTCCTGGGTAAAACACAAAATGACAACGGTTTCAACTGTAAAAGCCTTTTTAGCATTAGAAATCATGCTGGTAATTACAGAACATGACTCCCTTGAGGGCAGAATCAGTTTTATATCTGATTCACCGTGTTCCTAGAGATGGTTGCTATACTCCTTCCTTCAAGGAGAACTCAGGTGGTATGCCAAGACAAACCTGGACTCGTGAAGGAAAATGTACTCTGTAGCCCATTTTGGTCAAGTGAGATTTCGCACCTTCTTGTGACTGAACTTAATTCAGGTGGAGAGAGTTTCCATTACTTCCTCTACTAGTGTTACATGTAATGACAAACTCTTAATATTAGAGATATAGAATATTTAAAGTTAGCAAGCATTCTTATACAGCCAATGTTGCAAAATACTTTGAAGTTTTCAAAAATGAAATCTTTCAAAATGTCAAGATTAACACATGGGAAGAAATTTGAGGGACTATACAAAAGGAATACACGCTTTCATTAAAAGTCACTTGAGGCCTAGGAAGATAGTTGTTGATAATTAAAGATTTCTTATGAATAGTAGCAATTTGTAGCATAACATAGGACAGCAATTCAGGCATGAGAGGTTCTAACTTCAGACTGTATTCTGAATATTTGGTATTTTTAACAAGGTACACATTGAGTTTAGCACACTCCACATGTACAATACAACAACAAAAAATGAAAAGAATTTTCTTTTTTTTTTAAAAAAAGAGGAAGTCTTAGCTTATTATCCATCTATTAAAATGTGTTTCATGCTTCTTAAGAAGAGGACTAAGCACAATATACTCAACAGTTGTACAATCTCTCCTGCCTGGTATATTTAAATTACTTTCAGCAAAAGGAAGTAGATGTTGCTACAAACCGACCTCAAATTTAACAAAAAGGCAAAGGACAACATGAATTACTCTTGTCATCCTTCAATCTGTGGGTACAAAACAAAACTATGCCTGGCTGGTTTAATGACCCTGCACAGCAATGCAGAGTATGAAGGGAAACTTGGCATCTCACACATGAAAGTCACAAAAGTATTCAAAGTGCAAGGGATTTTAGAGAGATGAAATCTCTTTGGTGTTTTTTTGGGTTTTTTTGTTTGTTTGTTTTGATTTTTTTTGTGAAAGTGCAGTTGCTTTATATAGATATTTTTATTACCTAAGGACCTAAGCTTGCTTTTGCATTATTGAAAAAACATATTAGACTACAGCAAACAAGCAATGATTTATTATGGAGTCAAGAGGATTCACACCATGGTTTTGTCACTTTATTTTATGAATAAAACACATTAACAACAGCTTTGCAAAACCAAGTAAGATAGAGAATAATATACTGAGGCAGACAATAAATAAAAGCTGTAAACTTTAGTAGGCAAGAATATTATTTTATGTTTCTTCTTGAAATCAGCTGTATGCAGCCTTTTTAGTTATTTTACATATCTAAGAAAGAAACTTAATTTTATGTAGAACTGAACCAACTGAAGCTGAATGTTCATCTTGAATATACATTTAAATTTAAATCTGCAGCATTAACAAGAAAAAAAATATGTTCCTAAAGGTTAATAGCCTTCTCTCCATGTTTTTTAATAGATTATGAATATTACATACACCTGGTCAAAAATCAGGAAAATGCTTGAGTGGTAGTTGAAGTCTATTACTGAAAATATGGACTAAACACAAATTAAGTTGGAGGCACACCTGAAAAAGGATGTTTCATGTTTCTGAAGTCTGGTTGTGCTTTTTATTTACATTAAACATTGTAAAATTAGGAATTATGATTGCAAGTAAAATTCCATGTATAATTTGTGACAATATACCATTAAATATTGCACAGTGGTTTTCCTGAAACTGTGAATTGTATTAGGGCTCTTTTAATGGGGTATAAAACACAAGAATCCAATCTCTCTTCACATGCACCAATAGTTCCCATCATTTCATTCACCTAAAATCTCCTTGTTGCTAGTGAAAAATGGCTGATGAGTAAAGTAGGATATATCCCCTTATATGGTACCTTTCATAAAACATCTGCCATTTAACAACTGGGAATACTTCAGGAGTAATTTCAAAAATTCTGGAAAAGAAAGAATAAGTAAAAATATTTAAAAATTAAATAAATTTATTTAAATAATAAATAATTTTTTTATGGACAAGTTTTTGTTGCAAATTATACTTTCAGATTCTGTAACATAACTATAATGCTACACTATATCTTTGCAGAGAGTGGTTTTCCTCACAAAAAATCCCCACTCTTTTATAGTTATTTTGCACACTCTTTTAGAGATAAATTTAGAAGACATTGCCATTTTTACAAACATCTACAACAGACTGTTTGGTGTGAAAAAAACACCTGCATTGCTGCACTCAGCAATCAAGTAAGCTATGACTCCTTTACTTAATCTATTAAATAATAAAGTACATGCCCAGTTTTGTGTAGTTCCTCCTCACCAAGATTTCCTGACAATTTACACTCTTTATAATATCATTTTGCAGAGGGCCTGTGAAATGAGGAAATAACAAATATTTATTCAGTTCCTGGAACAGAAGCACAGAAAGGATGTTTTCAAAAGTGGCATCTCCGTTCCCAGCTGTGGAAAGACAAACATTTGGAGGCTGTTTAGCACCTGCGGCTGCTCTGAAAGTGGAGCTGAGTGCAGTCCTTACCCTGCCATACCCAGTCGTGGCTCCATCCCTTTGTAAAAGCTTAATGGATGACTTTTCTGCTGCAACTAAGTCTTATAAGCAGCCAAGTACAGAAAATAGGCAGTTGATGTTCCACCTCTTTAATACAATATTAAAATTCTGTTGTTGTTGGCTTTTTTTTTTTTTTTTAATGTAGATATACAGTGTGCCTCTTCTATGATTTATGCCATTTAAACATGCTGATTTGCATACATCTCCTGTTACTGTGTTCAGTAAATTGAAAAAGTGTGCTGACTGATGTGAAGTTTTATCTGACAACTCTTCTATGTTAAAATGCTGTTTGGGAGTGCTAACAAGTCCACCACATGGGACCTGATACTCTGCTTCAGCCATTGACCAACTCTAGAAGCCCTGTGTCTCTCTCTTCTGTTTTCCTCACATCAAATATTTCCTTTTGGAAGATACTTCAATGACTAAAAAGATTTGTTCCCTGCTTGATTATACCTGCTCCTGCTTTGAAGAAAATAATTGTCAGTGTTGAATAAAGAACTCAGGAAAAGTATATACCATCTTATTGTTTATTGGTCTCATTGCCAGAGTCTACAGATAATAATCAAAGAAAAACAAAGTCTGAATGAAAATGCAGTCATAGGCTTCACTGGAGTCTCTGAAAGAGCCCCACAAGTTCATCCAAATGTCTTCCCTGGAATAAGTAATTTCTTGCTGAAAAACTGCATTGTTCATAGGGGGGTTAATCATAATATTTGCTTTATGGTGTGACTTCATCACCATCCAAATTGCTTCTGCACTTCACATACCCATTGTCCTGCCTGACCCTGGTGCATATTTTAAAAACCTTTACACAATGCATTTTACTTGCAAACCAGTGTCTCACAATCAGTGGGACTTCATCATATACCTGGTTTACAAAAAACACATTTATTTAATAGGGTGCTGAAGTCATTATTGGCTGTGTGTAGGAATTCAGATTAGAGTTTATAAACAATTTCTTCTTTTTTCTGATCTGTTACACTGTGATTCCTTTAATCTTATTTTTTCTCCTGCTTTTTAGGAATTCTATATTAGTTTTGACCCATTTGTATGTCTGTATTCTCTCTTTTAATAATTCCACTCCTTTTTATCTTTATCAGCTTATTTCTGCTTGCTTTTTCTCCTTGTCATGGTTATTTCTCTCCTCTGCATTTGCACTCATCCCCTTTCCTTCCTTTCAAGCTAACAAATGCAGACTGTATTTACAGACTGGATTTTTTAAAGAATAACATATCAAAGTCAGACTACAAATATTACTTATGCCTGATGTCAGTTATTCACTGCTTGTCACTTCCAATGCACACATCACCAAAGAGCCTTCACTGACACTCCGGCCCAAAGTATAAAACTTCTACCATTACATTTCAAAAAATAACAAATCTTTTCATGTCTGAGCTGTCAAAAGAAGCTCTTGGAACAGCCAGCATAGAAAGGGACACAGTCACTACCCACACACACAATATAAGTATGATCAAATACCTATTAGCAGCAAGAGCTGATAACTCTGGAGGGTGGCAAGCCCTTTCTGAGCAGCTCTGATGCAGCAACACAGATTGATTTATTTTTCCTTTTTTTTTCCCAATCTGCCCTTGCCAGGGTGTTTGATGAATTCTTCAAAGCTGGGCCTGGAAGTATCAGTGCCTGGGATGCAGCTGCAGCTCTGCTGGAAGAATGCTGTGGGTGAGTGCCAGGGTGGCATTGCACATTTGGGGTTAGACAATGTATAAGGCCACATTGAGCTGCCTCTTGTGCTGCTCACTGATGCCAAGTGAGGAAGAACAAGAGAAGCTTGGAAAGTGGTGTAGTTTCATGTTCTGCAGAACTTCTTTAAATAAACCCTCTCTCACACCACACCACAGAAGGATGCTGGATGCAACTCAGCCTGTGTCCTGGTAGGATCCCACACCAGCTGGGTGCAGAGGTAGGGAGAGAGCACTGCTGACAGCTCTAAGCCAAAGGGGAAGTGAAACCTCTCATGCAACCTAAAACCATCAGTCTTCTGGACCCCTCTTGACAAAGACTGGGAAAAGAAATGGGAAAGAGGTGGTTCAGGGAAGCAACTCTTGCAGCTGAAGGTCTTGAGAAAGAGGCACCTGTTCCTTCGAGCAGAGAGCTTTACTGAAGAGGAGAAAAAAAGTGCGCATAACTGTAAAGGCATTCAAGCTTCATGTGCTAACCTTATGTTTCAGACTTTGGCTAAGAATTTTGCTTGTCACATTAGTGTGTTACTGTAATTGCAAAGTACTTCAGTACAAGTATACTGCCTTCATACTTAGAAAATTGTACAGATACAGTAGGTACCATGAAATAAACATTATGATTAATTTATCTTTTTTTTGTTGTACCATAGTTGTTTAAACCAGAAGTTATTGATTTCTATGTACAACTCAGTTAATGCTCATCTTTTAATATTCTTTTTTCCCTTAATTGTTTTCAAGACCCTTGTAAAGCTAACCTGCTTTTCTGAAGAAAACAACAAGTAACTTCATCTTTTAAAAAGGCTAAATCAAGCTTTCTTCCAAACACCACTTTCTGGATTAATGATTTACCAATTCAAACCATGTTTAGCTCTTGAGAATTTAGTGTGTTGTTTTGCCATTTTCCTCCTGCTATTCTGAGCTAGTTCTGTACCTCACACAACACTTAAATAACGGAGGGATCCTGAAATCAGACTTCACTGTTTCTGGATTTATTCACACTCAAACATCCACACTGCAACTCATCTGGCTTGGATGATACTCAATCACACTCAGCAATTTTGACCCCTCTCAAATTTTCTGGCTCCTGGGATTTAAGGGAAAAAGCCATTGCAACAGGCAATGACCCCTGGAGTCACTCTCTGCTAGTGTCTGCTGTGTCCTATAGGATCTGCTAGATCTTTCTCATCTCTCCTTCTGATCCAGACTTCCCTGACAGCATCACTTCTCATGCTGGCTCGATGAGCCTGCCTCAATGCTTCAGAGCTGTGCAGCAGCCTGAGTGCTGCAAGCTGATGTGAGCACAAAAGCAGGGTGGGGGCTTTTTCCATGGATGAATTATGATCTGCAGTTTAGTGTCATCACATTTTCTATCTGTTACTGATTCTCTTGTTAGTGCCATTCCCTAATGTGGTCATGAGTGTGTTCCTACATTCCTCTGGTACAATACTGAGAAATGTGATGCTCTGTGGTTTGCAGTTCCTGTAATGAGAACAAGGCAGTTCTCCTCACACACAAAATTTGTAATTATACAAGACTATATTGTGTTACTGGCAACTAATTAGAATTCTCTGTTGAAATTATATTAGTTTATTACACATCATTAACATAAAATGTCAAAACTAGCATGATAGTTGCTTTCATACAAAAAAATGAGCCTACTTCTATAAGTGAAAGCAACAAAATTACAGCAATTTTAGTATCAGTATTTTAATATATATTATAGTTAATGTGGTATGGTCAGAGGTTTTTCCATATAAAAATCACAAAAAGGGAATGTCAGTGACTATCAGTTTTGTCCTCTGTATTTATTACACAGATGAAATAAAATTCAAGAAACATTAAATGTCAAAGATGGTGGGGGGGGGTTGAACTTAGAGTATAAGTTCATATTTTGCTCTATATCCTTAGAGCACAGGGTACACATTACAACTAATTTACTCTCCACCACTGAATGAGTGTTATTATTATTATATTGCACACAAACTGAGACAAGGAATTTAATTCCTTCTGGCCAGGCAGTAAGTAAAATGCTGGTGTGGTAGGATGAGGACACAGGGCTCTTTGGAGCAAGCTGAATATCCAGATATCACATTTATTTCTCATTTACATACTAGGTTTTAATGTTTCTAAACTAGATAAAAAGTAGGTTTTTCATCAGGGATCTGTAGGAGACATTGGTGAAATCAAGCCACAGTAGGCAAGGTACCTAACTGCTCCTGGACAATACTAAGATGTTGGTAACATATAAAACTGATGTGAGGGTAGCATTCCCTTGGCAGCACACTAAATATGCTGCAAGTCACATAACCAATGAGTATAATTTGCAAATGTGTATGGAGAATCAGTCTTGACAGTTTTGTTTACAAAGGCAGGCAGCTATTTGGTGATAAGAGATATGACATGCTATTCATTTTGCTGCTACTAAGCCAAAGGGATTGCAACTATGATAACAAACTGTTAGATTTGATTGTTGGAATGCTTATGCAATGTTAGTAATAAAGGGTATTTAAATACATATCTCATTTGTTCTTGGGCAATTATATGGTATTTCTTATAATAATTTTCCTGGGACTCTTAAAAGGACAAGCTAATTAAAGAAAAGATATCTGTCTGGCTCAGCTTTAATGGGTCTGTGTTCTCTAAGTAGGTATATGTAGGAAACAGGAGCAGACGTGCCTTTATTTCTCTGCTTGCATGGGTTGAGGCAGGATGTCTGGTGGCACAGTCATGGCCTCACATCTTTCAGTTCCTTCATTTTGGCTGGCGTTACATCCACACACCTTCCAAAACTGGAAAATAAACAGTTCTAAAGATAGGACAAGGGTAAGGGCTTTAAACTTAAAGAGGGTAGGTTTAGATTAGATAAGGAGGAAATCCTTCACTATGAGGGTGGTGAAACAGGTTCCTATCCCTGAAAATTTTCAAGGCCAGGTTGGACTGGGCTCTGAGCAACCTTGTCTACTGGAAGGTGTCCCTGCTTTTGGCAGTGGCTCTGGAACTGGAGGACCCTAAGGGTCTCTTCCAACATAAACCATTATATGATTCCAAGTACTGCTGAAACATTCAAGAAGCTGGGGAGGAGGTTTCTGGCTTGTATCTCCTTTTTACTGAGCACCAGAAGAATGGGTCAGTATGACTAACACCTCTCCTTTGTCTTCAGCCCCCTGCTTCAAACAATCCTGAGAAAATACTTTTCCCAGCACTCCTAAATACCTGCACCATTTATAGCCTGAGTAACATGATGCTCACACATTTTCTTACAAAGCTCATGATCAAAGTAAAAAAATCCCAAACTTGTATAATACTCTCCGGAGCAAATGCAGGACTGGAGAACTCAGCCATGTTTTTTGTGAAATATTGCTCACTGAGCTTTGTTGAATGTGTTCATGCAACTCAGTAATGTGCAGACATGGGCTGATCCAGCTGTGATGGCTGAAGCAGTGTTTTGTCTGGCCATCTCACTCCCACCTCAGCAGGCACAGCTGAGGGGATGGCTGGATAGTCTGAGCAGGCAGACCAGGCTGGCCATCGTGCACATGCCTCACTAATGGGTTTGGCCAAGCGCACTAAAATACTTGGTGAGGGGGTAGCTGCTGCAGGTTACAGCTTGGTCAGCTGAGCTTGTGGCTGACCCCAACTCACACCTCCTGGTCAGTAGACTGGACAGAATATTTACAAGGATAAATATTATACACCCTTACAGGGGTAGGAGCAGCTAGGAAGGCTGCACCACTCAGGACTTGAGTTGCTGTGGCTTATTCAGCCTGAGTGCTGCAGTAATTCAGGCAGCAGTCTGCATTTTTTAATGTATTTGAGCATTACACATAAGTCTACACAAGGAAGACATATCAAAACCCAAAACTTTCCACAGCAGGGATTTTAGAGCTAACAAGTGGAAAATGAGTGGCTTTGTTCTCAGTCATTCTTACAGCTACAGGTGACATTGTGAATAGCATATACAGTGCCAAACTACAACTAAAATCCTCTTTGAATGCAAGCAGGCCTTAGGTTTAGCAGCAGCTGTGAGATGGAGACTTACTATTAATGGCAGATTCAAGTAGCGTGAACAATAACGAGGCTCTGTTTAAGGTGGACACAGCTTGTCTGCATTAGAACTGGACCTTGAGAACCTGCATTAATTAACACGATTTTAAGTGGTGTCAGCTGTTTCTGAGTAAACCTATTGATTAGAGCTTCATTCTTGGTCTGACAAGAATATGGATTTAAGAGGAGAGTTATGATCAATAGGTGGGGGTTTATTGTATTTTTTTTTAAATCTCAAAACCTTTTCAAAGTTGTGAAATATTTTAATGGACTGAGAGGATTAATGCATTTTTTAATAATCTGTTATTTGGAAAGCACAAAGAAGAAATCAGTCTGGAATGTGATAATTTTATGTTCATTTCCAGGGGTTCTTGACTTAGATCCAGACAACACAATTTTTTATGCACAATTTTTACTCCTATTTAACAGCCTTATTGAGCATATTTAATCAGGTTCACACATGTCTATAAAATTAGTTTCTTGTCTTAGATATGATTTATAAATCGGGGGTTATAGTATTTTGAAATACAAAGTTTTGTGTACAAGGATAATCATTTAATGTACCCTTAAACATCATCTCAGGGCCAGGGTGCTGGTTTCATTAAAGGGATCTGGCACGTGATAAAGTCCATGGGTATTCATGGTAAGCTCAAGGCTGTAGCTTGCCTTGCAGTGGGAGGACCTCTAACCACTGCTTCAATGGATTGGTCATCTGTCTGAGGCTTCTGTCACTAGTCTAGACAGCAAGAACAAAGATCATATTTTAGTAGCCATATTAAAATGTGAGGCATTAATTCTAGTATTCTGTACTTCTTCCCAGAGGCAGCAGCTGCACAGCGTGGCATAATTTAATAAAGCTATCCATCATCTGATGCCTGGATGTGAAAAACTTTCCAGGTAGTAGTGTAAGAAACAACTCCTTAGTTCTTGTTTTGTCAGAATGGGCACAACAGAACTGCTATACATGCACCTAGGCTTTAGCAAACGTCTGTATATTGAAGTTAAAATATTGATAAGCCTCTGTTTTGACTAGGAATTGGGAAATTTTCTGGCCAGGACAGGTCATTTAATTTCACATTAGAGCTGCATTTACTTACTCCTCCCCTTACTACGTACATCCAGCCTAAAGAATGAAGGGCACAATACACATCCTGTAAAAGTTGGCCACAAGAGGTGGGATGCCTGTGGATCGAACATGTGACAAATGACTATGCTATTGTGCAGCAGAGGCTCCATTCAGCACACGCTGCAGGGACGATGGTTGGCTTCTGGCCCTGGTGCATAGTGCAGCAAGCAGACCTCACTAGCACCTAGGATATATCTTACACTTCTGCACACTGGCTTTATTTAAGGCTGACTGATGTCTTAGGCAGGCTTCTTCATGCTAACTACACTGTTTTACATTTTCAGACTTCTTACCCCCAAGCACATAATTTTTTAAATTTTAAGATAAAACAAAAAAATTATTCCCCTACAACACAGCTACGGGAGTAAATGCACATACTTTTCATTCCCTTTTTCTGATGCAGCTATGCTAACACGGGCAGGAAGCAGAAGGTCTATGGGGGTAATGTGGAAGAGCTCACATGCCACAGGTTCCCCTCCTTCCTCACATACCTCATGGACCATGCATAAAAATTTCTAGATAATAGCTAGAGGAACTGATAAATCATCTCCTTCTTTGGAGCACAAAAATGCAACGTGGTCTAGTACTAAACCTGAGGACCTGGCTGAGCATCTAAAGCTCTGTGCGGCTCTGCTCCTCTCCGTCTGGGAAGCAGAGCTCCTGCATAGCGAGAGCTCCCAGGTGGGATCTTTTAACTGCTGGGGCTTAATGAACATTATGTGAAAAGACCTTCTAAAGGAGGCTGCTTAGAGTTTACTCCTGGTTTTAACAACCCCAGGGTAGTCTCTTTTTGATTCTGCCTTCTTAAAAGTCCACTTGTAGATGTACAATGCCTGTTCATTCCAACTCTATGCAAACGACTAAAGTCTAACTACCCTTCAAAGAAGGCCTCATACAAAGGTATTTCTGTTATATTTAGTTTCTTCTAAATCAGATGTGAATGAGGGGAAATTCTCCCCCTTCTACTGTTTTAACTGGCGTGACAGGACTGCATGACCTCAGGTACCTGAACTGACTGACTAAATCTGTAAGCTTGGAGTAGGTTCACAGGATGAGCACTAAAGTATTGTGAAGAAATAAAAATAAGCTTTGAGAAAGGTACCTTAATTGGACATGTAGATCGATAGGCAAATGAGTAGCCACGTTTGAAAGATCTGTGACCTACCACAAAAAATGGGGCAAAGGTCTATCTGAAATTCGTTTTTCCATGCTTCTTGGTTGCTGCCAAGCACAGAATACTACGATACCAATCTTCGAGATGGCATCTACCCTGAGCAATAAAAAACCCACCCTTAATTTAACAGGAGTCACCAGTCAGCTCCCGAGGCATAAACAGGCAGCTGAAGCACCGCGCGTAGGCTGACTTTAGTGCTGGATGCCGAGCAGCGCTTGGCACAGGTGGAGGAGTTTTCATCGCAGACCCAAATTAACTCCGGTGAAGTTGCACCGCGCCTGCCAGTGCCGCAGGAACAATCTCCGTGTGGGAGAAGCGCCCGGCGTGCCGCCCTCCCCTCCCCTCCCGGCGCCGCTCGGCCGAACAAAGGCGGCAGCGCGGGGTCCCCTTT